CTTAACATACAGCCACCACAACAATACCCGGGACACATTATAGAATCTCAGTGTTATTTTGGATCACCTGAAGATTAGGCCCCCTAGATTACTTCACCTGATATATTAAACACCATAATGCTACCTCGGGGGGTTAGGTTAGAGTTATTATTATTACTGTTTTGTTGTTATGACACACTATCTCTATCTATCTCTGTTCTTCCCTTTATCACCATCTTTCTCTCTCCCTTTCTCTCTCTCCATCTAAAGATCTATGTAGTATTCCTCTCTCTCTCTCTCTCTCTCTCCCCCTCCCTCCCTCCCTCTCTCCCTCCCTCCCTCTCTCTCACTCCCTCCCTCTCTCACACGGTCTCCATCTCTCTCTCCCTAATTAGCTTGATTAATAACAACACACAAAAAACAGTTGACCTTCAGACGACAGAGATTAAACGAGGTAGACGAGACAGATATGTGCTCTCTCACCCTCTGTCTGTCTGTCTGTCTGTCTGTCTGTCTGTTTCTGTCTGTCTCTGTCTGTCTGTCTGTCTGTCTGTTTACCTTATACGTTTCTTTCTATATTTACATCCACCTTTTCACTTACATCTCTCTCTCTCTCTCTCTCTCTCTCTCTCTCTCTCTCTCTCAGCCTACCATAAGACCCTTTGAGAATCCATCTTTGTGTCGTCGGTTTAAGGACTCAAGATACGTCCTTTAACTTACCGTACATTAAGTGAGTTAGAAACGTCCCCCCTTAACTTACGAGCCTTTCAGAATACAATATATCGGTAGCTTAAATGAGATCCACACGTTTTCCCTTAAGTTACGAACCTCTGAGAATCGTAGCCCTATCGTAAGGTGACACCCCCCACACATCTTAACTACTCCTGACTAATAAAAATTATCTTAAAATACCTCAAGGACGCCATTAAAATGAGCCTTAATCACCGGTGTAAATGGTCGTCAGAGATAACGATGGTACACACACATACACACACACACACACACACACACACACACACACACACACACACACACACACACACACACTAAATATTACAACCACTATCATTATTTAACTCAAATCTCTCTCCTTTTTCTTTTTAAGTAACTTGTTAAAAAAAACTCATCATCTATGGATTAAAAAATAAATAAAAAACATCCATTTTGATAATTAACTCAAAATCGGGCATATTGTTGGTAAATCTATCACAGTAAAATCAGTATAAATAATGGTCACCTAGAACAGAAAATATATCATAGTTTGTCTTAAAAAATATTTCGTTATTATTACGTTTTCTCTCAAGGCGCTTTCACTGTGCCCCGCCCTCACACACTAACGCGGTAACTAAACTAGATCATTTCTCCCTGTACTTCTGTCGCATATTACAACCATACAGAGATTATTCTAAATTCTGTTAAAGTATTCTACTGTAAAATATGTGGCCTTGTACACGAAGCAGTTAAAGCACATACTAATAATAACACGACCTATTGTGTTTTTGTTTTTGGCATATATCCCTTTAATAGTACTTAAGATACATACTAATACAGTAATAACACTACATATTTTTTTAAGGTTTTAGGTAACTTACGTAAATATAACTAAAAAATTACATTGAAAATTTGGTTAGATTAAAATTAGTATTATTTCACATTCACATATATTACTATACATAAACCTACTAAAATTAACGAAAGAAACAAACGAATCTCTCTCTCTCTCTCTCTCTCTCTCTCTCTCTCTCTCTCTCTCTCTCTCTCTCCCTCTCTTTGTTTCCACGGCAACCCTCCTCCCAAAATAACACGTTCGCACCAGAGCTAAGCTAAAAATTGTACAGAGGATTCCAAAAGAGAGAGAGAGAGAGAGAGAGAGAGAGAGAGAGAGGCACGCACAGTAGTTAATTCCCAAGAGGTAAAGTAGCACTCTATGTATACATTAATAAGTATGTATGTATGTATGTAGTTATGTATGTATGTATTCAACACATTCATATATACTGATGATAATGTCTTACTCCACAGTCAAGACACTCAGCAATGTATAAGACTCTCGCCTCTCACTCGACTACCTCTCACTCGACTACCTCTCACTCGACTACCTCTCACTCGACTACCTCTCACTCGACTACCTCTCACTTGTAGGAACTATGTGAGACTGGAATCACTACTTTTAACAAACTTGTAAGTATTCAGTGAAACCCCTATATAACGAACATTCCTCTCTATACAGTCCGTTATAGAGAGGTTATCACTGTACTGAGGAGAATCTGAACCCGTACTTACAACTCATGACTGGAGGCCGACGAAGCAACAGTAGGAAGAGACATGGACAGCGGTGAGGTCTGCGTTAGGAGAATAAACGAGTCTTCTACAGTGTCCAGGGTATAACAGCCATACCTCACAACACTGGCCTTACAGAACCCGTATTTATGGTCTCTTCTGATAACGTAAACTTCGTAAATTGTAAAAAAAAAATCGTAAACCGTAAAATAAACACATCAACGTCAACCCCAGACAAATTTACACCAAAACACACTTGAGCAACGGTGATTTTTTTATGATTTTCAAGGACCAGTCTTATTTTTTTATGATTTTCAAAGACCAACCATTAAAAAGTAAACATTCTGGGGATAAATTATGAATCTTGTTTGTATGTTAGAGAATGACTGAAGGTGTAGCGAGAGATGAACACAAGCGCGGGCAGAGAACTAACAGTATGTAACACGGTAAGAACACTACACCAGCTTAACAAGACCTCCACACACAACCTTTCCTTCCCTCCCTTCCTACTCTCCCTCTCTTTCTCTGCCTACCATTCCATATTTTCCATTCAGTGTTTTATCTATTCTACCTTTATTCCTCTTTATCTTTCCTCCTTCATGTCTTAATTACTTCCTTCTCTACCCTCCTTCTCTTTTCTACTCCTCCTCCTTCTCTTCTCTCCTCATCCCTCTCTACCCTCCTTCTCTTCTCTCCTCCTCCCTCTCTACCCTCCTTCTCTTCTCTCCTCATCCCTCTCTACCCTCCTTCTCTTCTCTCCTCCTCCCTCTCTCTCACTCCTTCACCTCACCCTCCACCCGCCATATTCCCAAGCTGGATCCGCCCCCCTGCCTGACACACACCAGACCCTCAAGTATCCAGGCTGCTGTCGTGAACCACACACACACACACACACACACACACACACACACACACACACACACACACATACACACACACACACACACACACACACACACACACACACACACACACACACACACACACACACATGGTCTTAGTATGGAAATTTGAGTCGGTTTGGTTCAGGTGAAAGAAATTGAGTTCGACACACACACACACACACACACACACACACACACACACACACAGTATATCACAGTGTGGCCCAGCCCACACACTTAGCTAATTGCCTTGTTTGTTGAGCAGGACTTATTAAACCAAACTCGGTCCCTTTAACTGTGGTCACGTGATATGTTTGCTTGTTTGTTTGTGTGTGTGTGTGTCCCAGTGAGAAGGTTCATGTATGATTTTCTCTCTCTCTCTCTCTCTCTCTCTCTCTCTCTCTCTCTCTCTCTCTCTCTCTCTCTCTTACCTGAAAAATAATTAGTACCAATTCCAGAAGGTGACGTAGTACCAGGTAAGCCAATTTGTACAGGTACGAACAGCCACTTGTAATGACAAGCACACAGACGATAATATATACTAAGGAAGATCCTGTATCCCCCACCACTCCCACCCACACCACTACAACTCCACCCCACACACCCCAACAACTCCACCCCCGACCCCCACAACTCCACCCCACACCCCCACAACTCCACCCACCCCCACAACACCACACACCCCCACAACTCCACCCCACACACCCCACAACTCCACCCCACCCCCACCACTCCACCCACACCCCCACAACTCTACCCAACACGACCTCCCAAAGAAGCAAGGTGGGCCATATAGAGGAAGGACCACAGTCACCAATTAGGAACAGGTATAAACCCCCGAAATTGGTGATGGTTCATATGCCACTAACACCCACTACGGTCACCAATATCACCAATCCCATCTTGTCGGTGAGAAGAACAATCCTCTCAGACCAGCCGTCGTGTGTAACCTAACCTAACCTAATCACCAATAAGGCCAAGAGCAATTTTGTGATTACCTGATCTGTAATTAAAACTCAACCAGATGTCCCCCCCCTTCCCCGCCTCTGCTTCACCTCACCTCCCTCACGAGAACAATTATAGCTTCTGTGATTTGATAAGAGGTTTCAGGAGGAGTAGAGGAGGAGGGGGAGTAGGAGGGAGAATGATGATACTAGTCATCTACACGTGTTTAAAAGTCATTGAATAGGATTTAAAAGATATTCTAATCCCTGCCTCACAATATGTTCTGGTCAGGCTAAAGACTGGTGATAACTCGGTATTATTGTACAAACCAAACCTAACCTAACACTAACCTACCTAACCTAACCTAACCTAACCTAACCTAATCTGACCAGACCTAACCTAACACTAACCTAACTTAATTTAACCTAAAGCATAAAAAATATAAAGTACAAAATGGCTTCCAAATGAGACAGACTTTACCTTATGTTTTGTGGGCCATTAAACATGGCCCTCAAAACCACCATGGCCCTTACAAACTCACACCCCGGCCAATGGTGGTGGTGGTGATAGTAGTGGTGGTGATGGTGGTGGTGATGATGGTGGTGGTGATAGTAGTGGTGGTGATGGTGGTGGTCCTTGGGTTAGCCTCTCCAGCACCCCAGAAGAATTCCATTAAGATAACACACTTTTACACGGACGTCCCTATCTCCCCCCCCCCGAGTCCCCCCTTCCCCTCCCCCTCCTTCCTTGGCCCTGTATCCCCCTCCCTATATTCTTGCTCCCTACCCCCACCTCCCACCCTCCCCTCCCCCCTTTATCCTCCCCTCCCTACCTCCACCTCCCACATGTAATCAGTCCAATGGGATATCGTCTACCTGTAATTAGTCCAACAACAGGTGGCACTGTACTCACCTCAGCCTTCCTCAGGTACAACTCAATCTCGGAGTAGGGGTCATTGGGGGGGTCTCTGGCCGGTGGAGTGACCTCTGACCCCCACTGGCCACGAGTCCTCTGGCCCGGGGTCCTGGTGGAGGCCATCTCTCCCTGGAGGGCGTGGTTATGGGTTATCTACAGCAGGTGGACGTGGGCGTGCTTGCGTCGCTTCATGCTGCCCGGATGACGGAGCCAGGGTCAGGCATGCAGTCTGACTTTCTGACCTCGCTGATACGGTCATCTGTTGGAGAAATTATGAGTTAGTATGAATGTTTGATAATAATAAAATAATATGTAATAATAATAATAATAATAATAACGGAAGACAAATACACACACACACACACACACACACACACACACACACACACACACACACACACACTCCACACACACACACACACACACACACACACACACACACACACACACTCACACTCACACACACACACACACACACTCACCCGACCCATTCTTAACAAACAGACGATGAACCAGAAGAACCGGATTTACCTGAAGGCACTGGAGGAGTAGCACCAGGTTAATGAAACACCCCGACGATACAGCACTCACCTGGGGCATCTGAAGGTAGTCGTGATTGGTATCTATCCTGCCCCTCTCGACCTACCTGTGTATCTTGTTCCTGGGCACCTCATCCTGGTCTATCCTTACCCTTGGGCATGACATCCTATACCTATCCTTACCTTTGGACATGACTTCCTTCACATATCCTTACCCTTGTGCATGGCATCCTTCACCTATCCTTACCCTTGGGTCTGACATCCTTCACCTATCCTTACCCTTGGCACCTCACCCTCTACCTTATCCCCATCCCCTGGCATGACACCGACCCCTATCCTCCAAACAACACTCGACATCCTTCAGGCCACTGATAGGATGATAGGTACCTTATAACCTTTCCTCAGCACGTCCTAAACTGATAGGAATCCTTGAGGGAATACAGCCGGTAGAGGTTCCTTCAGGTCCTACACTCCTACAGGTCCTCCCCACATACGTTCCCCTTCCATCAACCTTCAGAAAACGTCGCTATCCCATTAATCTCTCCCGTGCTTCTCCTTCCCCCCCTTCCCTCACCCCTCCCTTCCCTTCCTCAATATTCCAGACATATCTCCACTCCCTCACCCCCCTCCACCATCCCCTACCCACTCCACCAACCCAACCCCTACCTTCCCTCCTCCCTCCCCCTCTCCCCCACCACTGCTGATTCACCCCCAGCGTTAAGACAGTACTATACTCGCTCCTTCCCGAAGAATCAAGTCCTATTACATGAGGGTTGCACTACGCCCTTATGGAGCACTGGAGAAGTCCCAAAAGCCTATGGGACTGGACCAACTGTCTACCTAAATCCGGATTATACCAACACATTAGACTTGTAAATAATACTCACTATAACTCAGATTTTACGGGCAAAGATTATACTCATATATCATACCCACGCACTATATCCATACATTATACCACAGCATACACGAGTTATAGGAACACCACGCTCATACACGCTCATACACTCTCATACACGCTCATACACGCTCATACACTCTCATACACGCTCATACACGCTCTTACACGCTCGCCACACGCTCATACACCTAAGGATAAAAAAAATTCCGCCGTTTTGGACTGACAGAGGCAGGGACGTGTGTGTGTGTGTGTGTGTGGTATCGTCATTGTTTTGTAAATATCTTTCACCTGACCAAATAATTAATCAATAATACCTTGTACCTTTATTACCTGTATCAATTCATTTAGTGTAAGAGTTAAGTAGAATTATCATAGTATAAAATAAAACATGATTTAATATGTAATAACAAATGGTGTTTAATCCCCCATAGAGAATAATGGACAGACAGACGGACGGACGGACGGACAGACAGACAGACAGACAGACAGACAGACAGACAGACAGACAGACAGACAGAAAAACAGACACACACACACACACATCTAATGCCATGACATAACGCTTCCATCATCCTGCGTCGGGGAATAAATACTGAATACTCTCTCTCTCTCTCTCTCTCTCTCTCTCTCTCTCTCTCTCTCTCCACTAACACAATAAAGACGCGTCATTCATCTCCCTCCTGTGACGTGATCTTGATGCTGTCAGCTGATTGGTCAGGAAGAGTAATGACGTATTCAGGTGTACTCGATCTAATTGGTGTGAAGGACCCGTGACGCAATCTGACGCAAACACGCTGATTGGACAGATGAGTCTGTGTCCAGTGTGATGAGTCTATAAATTAGGCTCACATAACATCACGCCGCAGTCCAGAGAGACGTTCACTTACTCAAACTTTCCTTCCTCTTTCCACCTCCTCCCCAACCAGGTGATCGTGGGTCCAGGTCACAGGAGGTCACACAATACTCCCTCCTTCCTCCTAAATCAACCTGAGGCGTCGAGTCTCTGATACTTTCGCCGCCATTACTGTCCTGGAAATCAATTCTTCCTCGACACTGTTGTTATTGTTGTTGTTTGTTACCTAAATTCCCCCTAACACACAGGTATTCGAACCAAGGACCAACAATGGTGGGCGGTGGATGAGTGGTGATTACCCTCGACAGGCATGTGACTAATACTGGGTTCGACTCCAGATGCAGCCAGATGCATCAATGAGTCTAGCTGTCCAGGATCCACATGGAAGAGGAGGAGGAAGAGGAGGGGGAGGAAGAAGAGGAGGAGGAGAAGGAGGAAGAGAAGGAGGAGAAGATGAGGGGGAGGAAAGAAGATGGGGAGGAAGAAGATGAGGAGGAAGAAGAGGAGAACAGTGATCAGACAGGGAGGTCTGCACACCCCTAAGGAGGGTAGACAATTATTGCCAACTTTGGGCAGATCCAAGCACATTTGTGTACACACAGGTTACACACATAGCAGCCAGCTGTACTTATACACACACACACACACACACACACACACACACACACACACACACACGACCTGAAACGGCTGGTGTTCCAGATCCTTATCATCTACTTATTATTAAATCTTTTTCTCGGAAGGACTGTAGAAGGAAGGTAGCAGGCTGGCAATGTGTGTGTGTGTATGTGTCAATATCAGCTATCTATGTATCAATATCATCAACAATGTGTGTGTGAACATAATTACCTGTAGTCACTCTAAAAAAAAAAAACCTAAGTCAATTTCTTTATTTCTTCAAGCGGGTGAACAAGTCGTGACAACACCTTCCTTAACTTTCTCTCCCAAACAACGACAAACAAACACACAGTTAAAACGACGCCACAAACAAACCCCATAAGCCGTGTAGATGAGGTAAGGCAAACAAAAATAACCACAAAGTTAGGTTAGGTATTTAATATTCCATAAGCGTTCGTCTGTCATTATCATCCTCTCCCCCTCCCCTCCCCTGCCTCTCCCTCACCCCTTAAAGCCACAAGAGAACATTCGGACGAGGAGGAAGGTGTACAGTCGTTTGCATATGAATGGTCCTACCTGTCTGGTTCCCTGCACGATAGCCTTTTGACTTCCCCGATCATGGGTATTAAAAAATTATTCCCATCCCTTCAGAGGATTCAATACGAGGCCCTGAATGAAAAAATTAAGAATGTGATGACGATATTAGATACACTGCGCCTCCTCCTGCGCCTCCTTCTGCGAGATAACCATCGTAGTTTAAATATTTGAGGAGCGGCGGCGGGGTGAGTGAGAGAGAGAGAGAAATAAACAGATAGATAGACTGACAGTGAAAGAGAGAGAGAGAAAGAGATAAACAGATAGATAGACTGACAGTGAAAGAGAGAGAGAGAGAGAGAAAGAGAGAGACCTAAAAGGGTTAGAGTTAGAGAGTCTTCACTTCATTTCACTTGAGCGTGTTGGCTGTCAGGTCTTGGTGGAGTTTTTCCAGTCAAACGCTGTGTAAGTCAGGTGTATATACTGGACGACACACACACACACACACACACACACACACACACGTAGGAAAGTAAAGCAGCTGTTGTGCCTCTTTCTCCTGTCGTCGTTGTTGTGTACAGTCCTACTCCTTGAAGTAACTGGTGTAGAGAGACTAACATTCACACAACTCATGTCCAATACAGTACTAACAGAACCCACTACACCGTCCTTGGCACAACAACCAGAACCCTATCTCCTGCCGCACCACCAGACCCCCTTCCCCTCCCCTCCTTCCCCTCCCCTTCTTTCCCCCTCCCCTCCACCCCCTCTGCTATGCACCCCAACCCATTCCTCCTTCCTCCAGCCCTGCCCTCCACCTTTCTCCCCTTCCCCCACCCCTCCCTTCCCCCCTCCCTTCACACCCCCTCCCCTTCCCCCTCCTAAAAAAAACATCCCATTAGCATCAAGTGGCGAAAAATATAAACATAGTCAAATATAAATGGTCTCTATGTTGACATTCTTCTCCACGAGACATGAATGAGTAGAGTGAGGAACAGGTGTGAGGTGGTAGTGAGGTAATGTGAGGTGGTAGTGAGGTAATGTGAGGTGGTAGTGAGGTAATGTGAGGTGGTAGTGAGGTAATGTGAGGTGGTAGTGAGGTAATGTGAGGTGGTTATATGAGTGAGTCAACTATACGTCTCTAAAGGTATATACGATAGTGGTGAGTCTCTCTCTCTCTCTCTCTCCACACAAAAGAGAAAGAGAAAGAAATCTAACACCCCACAGAGCCTTGAGGGGATCGAACCAGGGAACTTTAGGTTGTGATTTGAAAGCATCACCCACGGCGCCACAAAACACCTAAGATAATGGGTCATAAATATGAAGAATAAGTCCCGAAACCTGTTATCGGTCAACATCAGCCTCGCTATTTACATTTCACTCTGTAAATAATGGCTTTTCCTCGTCTGAATATATGTAAAGTGAAACTCTTTGTCTTACCATAAGTTTCAGCTAGTCTACGGCCCAACATATTTATCTGGACAATACAGACATCCTCACTACACACTAACTTATGATGTCTGTGTCTTTATGGTGAAATAGTAATTAGTAGTAGTAGTAGGTATGGCTATTGGGGGAGGCTGGAGGCCATTAAAAAAGTAGTAGCAGTAGTAGTAGTAGTAGTAGTAGCAGTAGTAGCTATTATTATAAGACTCTGCAAGGGTCCTGACTGACAGGTTTTCCCTCATAAATCTGCGTTAGTTTACAGCGGCCACCGGGTATAGCGGCCACTCTCGCCTACAACGACCAGCACAAGACGGCCATGGTGGTCAGATCTTACAAATAGGATCGATAAATTATTCCATTTTTTTAGG